TCATCTTCTTACATGGCTGTGCACTGCAGGCAGGAGCCAGCACTTGGGGCAGCTGGGTCAGTGAGAGACCCTCTGTCCCAGCTTAGGGCAGGTTTGCTGACCACAGCTTTGATACTTCATGTCCTCCCCTTTTCCCCCTGGAGTCCTGCTGTGCCTGGTGGGAAGCATGCTGGCAGTTCTGCCCACAGGGACACACAGCCCTGCTTTAACTGACCAGCTTCCAATTTTCTGAGCATGAGGGCTGATCTGCACCTCCCCACATGTCAGTCCTTGTTCCTGAAAAAGGGGCTCAAAGCCCTCTCTGAATCCATCTCATGGGGTGAGCAATGTGGATCTGCCTCATTTCCACACCCAAGTTCTGGGGAGATGCTAAGCAGTCCCCAGGCTCCCTGGGGTGACAAGCCTGCAGCTGGGACCCTGGAGTGGATCATCACCCCTGGCAGAACTGGGGTCCTCTGGTGCCAGGAGGAGAAAGTGAGGCAGAGCTGGGCAAAGAGTGGTGTGAGCAAAGAGTGGTGTGAGCAGAGTGCTGTGAGCAAAGAGGTCCCATTGCAGCTGCAGGAGCTCTGGGGTAGGGAGCTCACGTAGCACCTTCAGGAGCATCGTCCAGGATCAGGCTGAACCCTGGCTCAGCTAGGGGCTTCCAGCACTGACATACCCACTAAATCCCTTATCTGTGCTGCAAGCTGCCTTAGCTGCCTTGGACTGTCTCCAGAGGGACCCACCCACAGCTAAGGTGTGATTGAGAGATTGACTTGTCTTTTCACAACTACAGGTACAGGAGAAAGGGAGGGCAGGGGAAAGAGCTGCCATACCATACAAATGCCATATGGTATGAAAAGCAGAGAGATTCATTATTCTTGGGGACAATCCCATGTACACTTTGTAGTGGTCAGGAGACAGGCAAGGATTATTCTGGAGCAGCCCTGCAAAACACTGGTGACAATCAGCACAGGAGAAACCAGAGGTGCTGCACTCACCTTTCAAAGATGCATCAGACAAAGATCAATAATGGGACACCAGGGATGCAGAGCAGGAGGTGCTGAGGCTGTGGGTACTCTATGTCTGCAGACTCCTTCAAGTCCTCCCAGATAGCTCCAGGCGACAGGCAGTATTCATGATGCCAGAACCCCTCTGACACTCCCATTCTGGGCAAGACAGTGGGCACAGAAACCAGAGGCTGCCTGCAGCAAGCAGGTATTTGTAAGGCACAAAGCTCACTGCTAAATCAGGATTCCCAACTCAACAGCTCATCACTCACTGTCCCAACCTCTTTCCCAATCCCATGAGAATGTCAGACCAGTTGAAATATCATCACTTGGTTTGATGTGTCTGTGAGCTTGGAGGTCGGGTAAGATGTCCTAGTACACGAGAGTGTCAAGGAGGTGGCTGATTTCAATTTCACTCTGTTTCACAGATGACACCTCCCTGGTGACACTATCAGCAGAGTCATCTCTCTTGCCCCCTCTTTCTTTCCTTTTCATTCTGCAAAGCCCTCATCTCTTAATCAGCTCTGATACCCAGCAGAGTGTGTGGATGGAGGTCCCAGGGGAGACCATCCATTGTCTACATCCATTGTCTACATCCATTATCTACATCCATTAAAATCTTCTGGCATCTTCAAGGCCCCAGCAGTCCCAGTTTTGGTTCCTTCATCCTGTCCAGTGACATCCCATATCCTGTTTGTGTTTTGAATCCTCATGTACTGAGCACAAAGCTGAGGCACTGCTCCCCAGAGCGGTTCTGGAGTGCTCACACACAGACCAGCACTTCAGGACACCCTTTCTCCTGCACCAATTCCTCTGCTCCACTCAGCCTCACCTGTGTTCTGTCAGTCTCTGTGCTGTGAACTGCAGCAGACAACACCATCATGAAGAACCTTCATTATCAGCTGATTTTGCTCTCTGCCTTTCCCTCCCCCTTTTTGGGGGCACTTGCAGCAATACACAGTTGCAAACAACCAGTGCTGGTCTCTCACAGTCAGCTCAGGTGGGTTTCCTCATCAGGCTGGTGAGGGACCTTTCTGAATGCCTTTGCAAAGCTGAGCAGGGTGCAGGTTCTCTCCACTAGATGTGCTCACCAATTTTTTGGGGTAACTCCAGCAGAGTGAGACAACTTCCCCACAGACACCCTGCCCCTTGGGGACTCTTTCCTATTATGCTCATATCTGTTTCCAAAAATTCTATCACATATAATACTTTCTCCTGCTCTGACCAATCTTCATTGCAGACTATAGAAAGCTGAAGTTTCTTACATTCCCACTGGAACCTTCTTAAATTTTTCTGATAACAAGTTGATTTGAAACAAAGAACAGCATTCCACAGTTGGTAGTTGAACTCCTCTAAGAATAAATTTTCCTCCTGCCAGTGGGTTTGAGGGTTTGCTGTTACTCAGGTAATCTGTGTGCTAGGTGACATTTTCTCCCCTGTTGGCTTGAAGTGGATGCTCTTGCAGTATGTTCTCAGTGAGATGTCAGGTATTGAACCCTCTCTCTCAGCTGGGGAGCCACACAGGGCAGCTCACTGCATTTCTTGGCTCTAGTCTGACCTATCCCTGTGCTGCTGCTGTCTGGCACCATCATTTCTGAATCCAGCCATCTTGCCAATGTTTCATACTGCCTTTCAAGTTGTTTCTCAGGATATTTCTTGGCCTGCTTTATCACATGCTTACATTTATCTGACGAAGCTATAGGTCCCTTCCCTTGTTTAGACATGACTTCAGCTTTTTGAACAAGGCTCTGTCTTTATTTGCAGGCACTGTGTCTGCTGTACCTGTGAGAATGAGAAAAGCAATGCTGTTCCAAGTGCAGTCATCCAAGGAAAGGTTCCCTTGGGCATACATTTCTGAATGAAATAATGTGAAATAACGTGATAATGGAGATCTTTGAAATTTACTGTGTGCAGGAAGAAGGAAACAACCGTGCCAAATTATTCTTAAAACAAGATCCAAAATGGCAGCAGATGTCCACGATTCCTGGAGTCAGCAGATTCAGGTCAGCCATAATTTTGGGCTAGGGCAGCCTGGGGGCCCCACTGTGCCAGCCTTGACTCACCCACCTCCCAGCAGCCTGGAAGCGTCTATATATGCTCCTTTTCTCATGGCTCACCTGGAGCTGCATGCCTCGTCTCCCACAGCTGCTCACTAACATCATGTGGGCACACACTTTGTGATGCACATCTCATCAGTGCATATGGGGGATAAAAGTATGGGGAAAAGAGAGTCAGGTCCTGCCTGGTGCCCAGGGCTCCATCTGGAAACAGAACTCTCCTTTAGAGAGTGAGTCCTGTGAGGAGAAGCTGAGGGAGCTGGGGGGGGCTCAGCCTGGAGAAAAGGAGGCTCAGGGTGATCTTCTCTCTACAGCTCCCTAACAGGAGGGTGCAGCCAGGTAGGAGTTAGGGTGACAGGAGCAGAGGAAATGGACTCAAGCCATGCCACGAGAGGTATGGTTTGGACATCAAGAAGAATTTTTTCATGGAAGGGGTTGTTAAACATTGGAATGGGTTGCCCAGGGAGGTGGAGGAGTCTCCGTCTCTGGAAGTAATGAAGAAGTGATTGGACTCTGCTCTGATTGACCAAGTGGTGACTGGTCACAGGCTGTATCTGATGATCTCAGAGGCCTTCCCCAGTCTAATGGATTTGGTGGCTCCATGATATGCTCTGCTGGGTTTCTCAGCAGACAAGTGACAGTCTAGCTGCAAGTTTTCTACAACAGCTGTTCTGTGGGGGGAGCTGTGATGCCCCCTGTGTGAAGAGAGAAGGGCATGGATACACTGAAGTCTTAAACACTGTCACACTACTCAGAAGCTTCCCAGCCCTGGAGCAAACATAAAGAGAGAAGGTGGAGAAGCAGGGAGGGACCTGAATGCTTCTTCAAGCCTTAGCAAGTTGATGGCAAGAAAACAAATTCACCAGCTGATCTGCCTCAATGAGTCATGACTGTTATGCTCAGCTAAAGGCAGCACTCAGTAATTCTTGCTCAAATCCAACAGCTCTCCTGTATCTTTGATGTATCTTTCATAAGAACCAGATCTGCCTCCTAACAAGCTTATCTCAGTCTTCAGGGGCACAACAAAGCCCTGAGGGTCAAATCCAGCAGGCATTAACATACACTGGCTCCATTGGGCATTATGCAGACTCTGGGAAGCATTCTGCTCCTGGGAGGAGAGGTGATGTGATTTTACAACAGAGAGCTTCCCTAGCCTCCTAAAACCTCAGAAAAAAGGAACAGATATTAATTTCTCTCCTCCCACCCTAGCAAGGCCAAAGCAGCTCCCCAGTGTTGTCACCTTGGACTTGCCATTGTCCTGGCAGTACCAAGTAACCTGGCCTGCCCCTAAGTCTAGTGTAGGGGTGTTCCAAATTGTCCCTTGTTACAGGGCTAAACACAGTCTTACTAACAGGAGACAAAGGTGGCAGCTGCAGGTCTTTACTGGCACGGCTCAGTGTGGCTGTGTGTCCTGGGCAGGCAGCACCTTCCCCTTGCCAATGGCACCCACGTGGGTCTCCCCAATCACACATCCACCTGCAGCCAGCCAGGTTTACCTCCTGGTGGTTAAAGAAGTAGAAAAGAGACCAGACAATCAAACCTTTAAAAGTAATTTATAAAGAACATTTACATTCAGTAGTACAAAATGATGTAGCATTTCAGTATCCCTCCTGAGCACAGCACCCGCAGAGAGGTGGGACCATACGCTCAGATCACAGCAAACACAACATGTGCTTCCAACTTTCAATTGTCACAGAATTACAGAATTTTATGTGTTGGAAGGGACCCGCAAGGATCATTGAGTCCAATTCTAAGTGTTGAGAAACAGCTGTCTGGACTTCCCAGCTCTTCCAATGTGATTTGTGCGGGTACTCCTCCAGCCTGGGCTTTGGAGCTTAGGGGCAGTAAGTAGGGACTGAGATCCACACATTACAAAAATGGTCACTGGCACAAAGAGTACCTCCCTTGAGAAGAGCATGTTTTATCTTATGCCTTTCAAAAGCTTTCATTTCACTATACTCAGTTTTAATTTTGTGAGTGCATACGGGGCACCTGTTTTCTTAGAAGAGGTATCCCAGTGATAACATTTGTCACTCGTCAGCCATAATAATTACTGGCAATAGGTCAGGGCCTCCAGAAGCTGATCCAGGCCAAACAGATTCCTATCAAACATTAGGTGGGTAAAACTTTACACTGCCAGAGTTTATCCACCTTCTTATTTTTAAAGTATTTTTCAAGATTAACACATTTGACAACAATTATGGTACAGTCTTAATACAAGTCAAACCACTTTGATCCCTTGCTATCTGTTTTGAGGCTACAATCTATAGTAAGCTTTTACTGAAGGAAGACAAAAAACTTCCTTCAAATATCCACTGGCTATAAACACTTTGGTTTATGGGAAGCAGGAATTCAGCTACAATACTGCAATTGCACTCCAGTTTATCTACACAGTGAGCAAAACTGTTTCTACAGATGGTGGCCTGGGGTTGCTGGAGGCCAGGCCAGCAGCACAGGACAGCAGCTATCTTTCCTTGGCATGGCCATTGGCACGGTGGGCTCTGTTGTCCAGGGGCTCAGATCCATTCCTCTGGATGTAACCATTGCTTGTGACGTTGCTGAAACACGTGATCCCATTTTTCTCCTTTTCTCTAATTTTATCTCTTTCTTCATCCTTGTCACTTTCTTCTGTGTCACTTCTCATGTCCTTGTCCATCTACAAAGGCAGGTGAGTGAGAAGCCAGATAAACAGAGCATTTGCACAAGCAGCAGTGATGGCTGAGCCACAGGCTGACCATGCCCCTGCTGCCTCAGCTCCCTTCAGCCTTCACATCACCCTTGGGAGCAGATTCTCCCTGCCTCTTTGCTTTCAGCCTCACTGGAATCTCATCTGTGACCCTGATACACATCCCTGATACACATAATTCCTGAAATTAGGAATTACAGGCTGCAAAGCAGAGCAAAACCACAAATGCCCAGGACTGAGGACAACTGTGCAAGCCTGAGGAGATCCACGTTGCTGCCCTGGTCACCAGCAGGAGGGAGAAGGATGGGTAGGCAGTGAGTCAAGCTCGATTACACTTTCCAAAAGGGACAAGGAGCTAACTTGTGCCTACACGGCCTGGGTGGCTATAGGCTGACAACACTGGGGACAGGCTGGAAACGTGCTTCCCAAAGGCTCAACACAAAGCCACTCCACTCTGACTGCATTCAGGTTTATGGTCAGGTTTTTCCTCTTGTTGTTTATTGACTGAGGGACCTGTAATTCACTCCTAAGTATTTAATTATCTGCCTTAAAGGGAAGGCAAAAAAGAAATAATGGAATAAAATGACAGCTTAGAAAAAAGCAGCTCAGCACTTCCTGGCTTCTCAGGCTGTCTCTGCTCTCCCATATAAGATGCCAATATTGGGGACAAATTCACAGTGTCACACTCCTTGTTGGACAGAGGGAAAGCTGCAAACCCCTTCTGTGACCTCAGCTTTAGAAACTGCTCAGGGGAAAATCAGGTGCTGCCCAGAAATTTAGTCTCCATGTATGGATGTCCATTCTTCTTGAGATCTCCCAGATCATACTGAGAACTTTATTTCAGCTCATGCTCTTTCCAGAGATCACTACAACCAGATGCAGACAGGATTTGTAAAAATCTAAATTTGCACTGAATTCATTCTACCTCCAAGGACAATATGGGTGGGAGATAGGATCTGCTGTGAACAACCTGCACCTTGGATCACTCTGGAACTGACAGATCAGGAAATATGCAGGAGTCTGGACCTGCAGCATAAGGACAAATAATAGTCAATATTTCTAAATATATCCATTTATAGCCAGAGAATGTGGCTGAGGCGTTAAATCTGGCAAGATTCCCAAAGGAACTATAAAGCTGCTCCCTCTATGAGGGAATGAAACTTGTACTTCAGGATCTAGGCTGAGTACTAATTACTTGGGATTAGGAAACATCATGTGAGAAGGTGGTAAAGATTATTCTGTAGCCAGAGAGGAAAACCATGGAGACCAGAAAGGCCTGCAAGAAGAACATGAACTGATTGCAGCAAAAGTTTTGTAGCTCTCAAAGAGAGAATGTCCTGTATTCTTGCTGATATTGCTTTGGGCTACAAAATATTGTCATTGAAACGGATCTGTTTAGGACAATTCTTTTTTGCTTTTTACTGCTCAGTACAGAAAGTTTTCAAATATATTTTTTATATCAAATCTGGCATATCCATTTTAGATAAAATAGGAAAAATTATGGATATGCTTCAGGATTTTCTTCCCTGATGGTTCTTTACTTTCTAACAAGACTATTTATTACCCCATCATTTTACACTACAGTAATGGCAGTAGTAATTCAGCCCACACAAAAACTGGGAAAACAATAAAAGGCTGTATTCAGTTGTATCTTCATTTCCAGCCCTGTTTCCTGATCTGCAAGCAATTTGCTCTGTGCTACCTTAAGGGAAGGCAGATAAAGAAAATGGGGACAATCAGGATAAAAAGGAGCCTTTAATGATTGCTCTCAGTTCCTGTAAGACAAAATTCCTCAGTTGGATACTACTAAAACAAATCATCCTGGGCTCTGAGGTCACTTCCCACAAGGCACTGACTGCTCGCCTTTGGATTGCATCCTTGGCACGTGGCCAGCCATGGCTTTGATTTTGGGAACACGCTGAGCAGCACTTTGGTCTCACAGCAAATACTACAGGCCAGAAAGAGTGGGATGTGGGATGCATTCCATTTCAGTTTATACAGCTGGAGCTCAGAAACTCATCTCTGGTTGCTTTGCGCCTGTTGAGCAGCATTGCCAGGTGAAGTATGGAATGGATCAAAATTTGGGCATGCCTGTTGCCTTCCACTGCTGGAAGAAGAGCCCAGGCAGCTAGTTTAGACAGAAATACCTACTGTGTGAAATTGCACTCAAAAATCCTGTGCAATAAAGGAAACACTTTTACACTGACCTCACCAGTCATGACAATTTCCTCTTCCTTGATTTCTTAGTCTTGTTACAAATGCAAATCACACTGCACAACGTGTTGGGATTTTTACCCAGATGTCACTGGCATTGTTCACAGACATCTCTCCTGGAGTCCAATCCATATTTTTGTTGAATATAACCATCAGAAGTGGACCCAATATTGTAGTGATTAATAAAAAATTTTTGGTCAACTTTCCCTATTACAACTGAGTTTCCTTCTACCTCACTGTTGGAAATATGCATATAGAATTTCAATAGAACAATAAGGAATCCACGCCAGATGGACCCCTGTATTCTCAAGCAGTCTACGTGGACCCTCCCTCCCCCATGTGATGTAAAGGACAGTGCAAGCTGATGCATACCGTGCCCTGGAGGATGAACTTGTAGACCATGTGAATAATCAGGCAGGACCAGAAGACATGGAGCAGCTGCAGAATCATCAGGAGAACATTCACAAAGTAGTATCCAAAGAAGGGTTGGAATATCTCCATGGAGTAATAGTAGGTGTTATAAAGCACTCTGTAAAACAGAGGGGATTGCAGTGGAGGGAAAGCATGTGGTTAACAGGGCCACAATTAAGCCCCAGAAATTTGTAGTCACAGAGGAAGTTTCAGATCAGCCTTTCCATCTTTACCTATCCCAGCTCTCAATTTCCCACCTGAGGTACATGGGATGGAGCCAGGGCTCCAGGACTGCTCCATGAACCCAAAGAGCAGGTGCAAAGGGGTAAACCCATGCTCCAGGACAAACCAAAGGCTGCAGCCCCAGATAATCCTGCTGTCTCTCAGGAGGCAGGTCCTCCCTGTCCCCTCATGAGCAGACTCACGTGTAGGGGTAAATGACCAGGCGGCTGATCAGGAAAACAGCTGAGAAGATCATAAAGAGGCTGTCACAAGTTCTTTTCCACTTCATGTAATTGAATATCTTAGTTGGCTGGAAGGAGAAAGAACAATTAAACAGCAGCCAAGACAGCATCTGCACACACTCCAAGGGGTTAATGAGACATGTGTGACACAATCTGCATGCAGGTAACCACAGCTCTGCCCAGCTCTCAGCTGGGCATCCTTGGCTGGGTCAGCAGAGCAGCAGAGGATCTGAGGAACACCCCAGTGCTTGGCCCATGTTAGACAGAAGGACATTCTGTGACTGAAGAGCACCATTGCTGATGAGGCTCTGCCTGGCTCACCTCTAGGAAGCAATCAGAAGCATCATGAATCACCATCACCAGTGTCCCAATGCGGATGTAGTTGGCACAGTATGAAAAACTGATCAGGAAGATGGTGGCAGCATGATGGACTATCTGCTCCTTGAAATCCTGATGAGAAGGGGAACAGCAGAGAATAAAACACATAATGTACCTCCTGCCCCAGTCTAAACGTGGTTCCTGCACGTAGCAATGATATCTCTCTACCTAGTGACTAAGAAACCTCCCTCTACAAAGTCTTACCCACATAATTATTTTACCAAATGTATTCTAGAAATGTAGGCAACCAAGAGACCCAGGAATGAAGAGCTTGTGGTGTAAACTGAGGATCTCACAACAAAGAACACTCTTTCCCTCCACCAGCCATGGCCTGATGCTGCACCCTGTCTGTTGGGACACTGGCGCCAGGAACACAAGCAGCTTTACTGGCAGAAAGCCACCTCTTTTCCCGTCTCTATGATCAGCGCAGACTAGAAGAGTTACAAAAGAGCAATTTTTATATTTGGATTTTAAGTTTGGATTGAGAACTCTACAGTACTATGCACCTTTCTACATCAGGGCTAGTATTCTCCACTTCCAATGAGTGGTAATGAAAATTCCTGTGAATGAGCAAGGAGAGACTGCCACAAAACCTTGACTGTCACTGTACGCATGCTCTCTGAGATCACTCTAAGTGTTCAGCTTGAGTCCTGTTTGTACTTGATTCTCCCCTGAGACTGCCACTCACCTTCCTCTTCACGTCAAAGGGCAAAGTGAACACCAGTGACCAGTAGAAGGAGAGCTCCAGCATGTAGTACCAGAACAGGGAGGGCTGGAGAGGCTGTGAGGAGGGACAGACAGGGAAACACCCATCAGATACATTAGTGCAAGGGCTGCAAGTGAAAACTCCTTCCAAGGCAAAAGACAACTGTAGTGGGTTGATGCTGACTGGATGCCAGGCAGTCACCAAAGCCACTCTGTCACTCCCCTGCACAGCTAGGCAGAGGAGAGAAAATATAACAAAAGGTTCATGAGTTGAGATAAGGACCAGGACAGATTGCTCATCAAATATAGTCATGGGCAAAGCAGACTCTAATTAGAGATATGAATTAAGTTAATTGCTAACAAAATCAGAGCATAATCATGAGAAGTGAAATAAACCCTTAGAAACACCTTTCTCCCAGCCCTTCTCTCCTTCCCAGCTCTACCTCAAACCCCAGTGATGCAAGGACATGGGAATGGGGGTTTTGGTCAGTTCATCACCCATGGCTTCTCCTGCTGCACTGTGGGGTCCCTCCCATGGGAAACAATTCTTCATTAACCTCTCCAGTGTGAGTCCATCCCACAGGCAACAGCTCTCTGTGAACTGGCACAACATAAGCTCATCCCATGGAGAACAGTCCTTCCCAAACTGCTGCGGCGTGGGTCACCCCTCCGTGGGGTGCAGTCTCCCTCAAGGACAGGCTGCTGCAGCACAGGAGCAGGGCTCCTCTCCCCATGGGCCTCCCACGGGGCCACAGCCTCCTCAGGCATCCCCCTGCTCGGCTGTGGGCTCCTCTTCCACAGGCTGTGGGGGGATCTCTCATCCCCATGGATCCCCAGGGGCTGTGGGGGGATCTCCACATCCCCATGGATCCCCAGGGGCTGCAGGGGCACAGCTGCTTCACCCTGGTCCTCAGCTGCAGAAGAACCTCAGCTCTGGTGCCTGGAGCACCTCCTATCCCTCCTTGTCCGCTGACCTTGGTGTCTGCAGAGTTGTTCCGCTCCCATTTCTCAGACTGCTCTTCTTTGGCTGGAAGTACAACTGTGCAACAACTTTTTCTTTTTAAATCTGTTATCACAGAGGTGTTGCCACTATTTGTAATTGGCCCAGCCTTGGCCAGTGGCATGTTCAACTTGGAGCTACCAGGGACTGGCTCTGCTGGACATGGAGGAGGATTCTGGTAACTTCTTACAGAAGCCACCTCTGTAGCCCCCTGCTACCAAAAACAGGCACCAAAAACCCAATATTACAACCAAATCAACAAAGCAGGCTCCCACAGCTACATGGGGAAATAGTTCAACTGAACAACACACTCGCTTACTAAATGTCATCTGTGCCAAGATTAAATCAAACAGCAGGGGAAATTCAACTTTACCACAACATGTCAAACATTTAGGGAACCACCATGAAGATCGTGAATATTTTTAGGATTTATTCAACATTATTCAGATTCCTGAGCAGACAGTACAGAGTTTTAAAAACTACATAAGCCAATTCATTATGGTGGAGAAGGAGTAGCTGAATAAACCATTCCCTTTTTAGGCTTGAAGATGCTTCAGATACCCTGCACTCTGTCACAAATGTTCCAGTTTAATCAAACTAATGGGGGGAAAATCCAACCCCAGCAGGAAATGTAATTCACATTCTTTTGGGTAAAATATCTGGGCTTTTAGAGCTGGGAAACAGAAAGCTTAGACCCACTCAGCAAGATTTTGTTACTTAACAAGCAATTTTTGCTGTTGTTGCATTATATGACCTCCTTAAACCTGAATCTATTTGATTAATAATTACTATTAACAAACTGGCTTTGCAACGACTTTCAAAGGAGCATGAAGTATCGTGCTCCCTAATACCAACTGGTTATTTATGGCCTTCATAAATTTTAGTTTGTTTTCCTTTGTAGCAGCAGCAATTGGCCACAAGAGGAAGCACAGCTGGATGCCCTGGGGCTTACAGGGAGGATATGAACATCTCCCTAGCTGCTATGTGCTGGTCACACTCCAGGTTATCCAAACAGGAGCTCTGGATCAGAAGCTATTTTTTTCCCCAAAGATCTGACTATTTGGGAGAACTGGTGTTTCTTTTGTCATTGTCTGTAGCACAGCATGGTCTGTTTAGTAGAAATTGTAATTAATACATTTGTTGCTCCTGCTAATACACAGGTTTGTCCTTGACTTGCTTTTTGCCAGTGGGACACGACCAACCCTGGTTTTGGTCTTTTCTGGTTGTTACAAATGTTGGAAAATGAGTGTGCTTTGGATTTACATAGAAAGGTTTTGCTAGAGGGGTGGGGGCAGGGGTGGCTTCTGTGACAAGCCAGAAGCTGCCCCTGTCCAACAGAGCCAGCTCCAGACACCTCCAAGATGGATCTGCCACTGGCTCCATGAATGATAGTGCCAGCAGCTCAAGGACGATGCATTTAAGAATGGGAAAAACTGCTGGGCAAGAGTGGTGTGGAGAGAGGAGTGAGAATATGAGATACAGTGCTGTAGACCCTCAGGTCAGTGCAGGAGGAGGAAGAGGAGGTCCTGGTCCTGCAGCAGAGACTCCCCAGCCGCCATGGTGATACAGGCTGTGCCTTGCAGCCCATGGAGGTCCACAGGGAGCAGAAATCCACCTGCAGTCCCTGGAGGAGCCCTGACTAGAGCAGGGGGACGTGGCTTAAAGAAGCTCTGAGCCTGTGCAGACCCTGTGCTGGGGCAGGCTCCTGGCAGCACCTGTAAACCTGTGCTGGACCCAGGATGGTCCTTTCCCATCCTGTGGGAAGGACCCACAGTGGAGAGGTTCATGGAGAGCTGTGTCCTGCTGGAGAACCCTGCTCCAGAACAGGAGGAAGGAGCAGCAGAGACAAGGTGTGATGGACTGACCACAACCCCCATTCCACATCTCACTGCACCACTGCAGGGCAGGAGGTGGAGAATGTGGGGGTGAAGTTAAGCCCAGGAAGAAGGGAAGGGTGCAGGAACGTGCTTTTAAGATTTGGGTTTATTTCTTATTGAACTACTCTTATTTCACTAACAGTAAATTAAAATAATTTTTCCCCAAGTCCAGCCTGTTTTACCTTTGATGGCAACTGGGTATGCTCTCTCCCTGTCCTTATATCAACCCATGAGCCTTTTCTATATTTTCTCCCCCCTTTCCATTTGAGGAGGGGAGAGAAAAATGGGCTTGGTGAGCACACTGTGGCCAGCCAGGGTCAGTGCATCACTGCGTGCCCTTATGGAGGCTCCCATTGTTTTGACAAGACATGGATCACAATGTACAGAGCAGGAGACAGAGGGAGCCAAGTGATCCTTGCAGTCTTACCTTCCTATTCAAGCCCCACTTGTTTGTATGGTTTAATTTTTACACAGAACTACAGACTTGCCCCTAAAATTTTTATCTTCAAGCAATACTGGATTGTTCAGAGACTCATCCTCCAAGGCACTGCCTCACTCTTCAGTCATTGGCCCCATTACATTTCCTGTGCCTCATGCTGTTAGAATTGGGCATTACTTTTCTCTTTATGGGTTTGCAACCTCCACATACAGTCAAGGGGTCTTGCTCTAGCTTTGACTGTCAGACAAAACCCCTGGAACATAAGTCATCATTTTCTCTTGGTAGTGACAAAGTGCTCTGCCAATTCATCTTCTCTTGCATTAGATGAGACCAGGTACAAAGATGTTCTCTCCAGATGAGGGTCTGACTTTGAATTCTTAGGTCTTCTGTGTCTGAATTTAATTCAGTTTCCTCTTCTTGTCACTATTATAACTTGTTTTTCAAAAATACAGAAACACAATACAAGACTGATAACAGCAATTCTCCTTCTTGTGTGACTCACCTGTTGTGGATATCCTGTCCAGCACTCTCTATGGTCCCAAAGCCAAGGCTTCTGCAACAAAAATGCAACACGTATGTGAGAATGTCAGAGGAGTTCTTTACTTATCAGTTGTCTAATTCCTTTAGTTTGTTACTACTATAGACTTTGTTGTCTTTTATTACAGGCAGAGCTGGTCTCACTGTCTGGAATCCAATTGCCAAGAGATTTCCATTACAAGGACTTGCATCTGCTTGTGACATTTCCAAATTGTGGCTATTTGCCTGAAATCTCACACACTATTTAACTGTTCTAAATAAAATAGCTCAGAGAAGACTTCTCCCAACTTTTTGCCCTCTTCTGCAAGCTTGAGGTGGTGGTGATGTTTTTGAGCATTTAAAAATAATCTTACAAGTATTTCATTAGGAATACCTGTGATTTAGACAATAACACTTAAATGTGGATAGAAGGTTGAAAACTGGTGTGTCAGGTATGTATTTTTTTCCTTTAACAGTGAAGGTTATGCTGCAGTTTGTTAAGTAATGAACCTCTGAAAAGATCTTGCTCTGTTCAATATAAAATTGGTAGTTTAGAAACCAGCAGTTTTGAAACCTTTATAGAAACATGGCAACTGCAGTGCCCAAGAGTCCTCCCTGCATGGAGCTGTGCCCAGGCTGGGTCAGAGCTCACAGAACACAGCAATGCCTCACACCTATGGGGGTAACTTTCTTTAAGTTCTACAGGGTTCCAGGTATCAGAGCTCAGGCAAGAAGGCAGCATTGCTTCTTCCCACTGAGCACTGCCCCACTATTGTGTGGGCAATACAGAGGCAAAGCAGGAGGCAGTGGTTTTAGGTGCAGTGGTCATTTGGAACAGACACGGTTCCTGCTGACTGAGAGTGAGGCTGGGAATAGAATTTACAGCAAATGCATGTGCAGAACCAGGAGAGATGTGTGATATAGAACCAGGAAGCACAAAGCAAAAACTACCAAACAACTACGGCATACTGTTTACCTAAGCTAGAAAGGAACTCCAGATCCCTGAATTTCATCATTCCTCTATTCTCAGCAAACATAGCTGATTTCTAGTGGCCTGCTGGAAGACAACTTTCCTTTGTTACAGGCTGTTTCACTGACTTACATGCAGAGGTTTTTGCTGCCAGTTTAAAACTACTAATGCAGAATTTAAACATTTGGTTTTTTCCTAAAGAAAGAAGGGAGTTTCACAAAAACAAACACACATTTAAAAGCTACTCAGGTTACAAAATAAACCTGTGAAAGTCAGAACATGTCACAGGTATATATGCCTTGTCATGTTAATTCTTTGTCCTTCTTTTTAAAGTAGTCCTTTTAGTACAATTTAGGCAACAGAATAATATATTTGCTACAGGATCTAGAGGCGCTATCTGTAGGATGGATGTCTCCCTTTTTTGTGAAAATTGTAAGATGTGTGTTGAATAAAGACATGGATCACAAAAAGTGAAAAGGTATTTCATCCATATAATGGACAGACAACATGCTGAAGAATATGATTTTGTCCCTTCTTGCCACAGGGCTCTTGTACAATGCTAAGTAGATCATGCAGACCAAATTTCAAATCTGGTCTCAAAGAACAGTCTTCTGTTTTGATGTACAAATCCACAGATCACTGCAGCTGGGGCTCAGATACCTTCACTCCTCAGCTAGCTCATTCTCTATTCCTCATACTTTTGAGTACCTTAAAATCTGACTTAAAATCTGTGTAAATTAAACGTCCTTCACGTGTTACAATGAGAGGCTACAAGGAGAGTTTGTGCCTGCTGCCCTGGGACGTGCACATTTTACATCGCTTAACTCATCAGACTGTACCAGAAGACTTTTGCAAATCTCACCCAGGGAACCAGGCACAGCAAAAGAGTCAGGGGAGCCTTGAAAACAGAGGGAGCAGATGGCCAATGCCCCAGTCCCAGCTCAGTGACCACAGCTCAGGGACAAGAGCACACCCATGGCTCCTGTCACCACTTCTGCCTGATGAGGCAGTACAAATTGTATGAAGAGAACTCACTATTTAGCAAATTAGAGAAAAGGCTGAGGCATGAGCCTCAACCAATCACATCCTGGGTAAGGAAAACAATATTAGCAAATAAAATTATTAAATTGCAGTCCATGCTCCAAAGGAAGCCAAATTTATTTGCCTTAAAGAGGTATTGGGTACAACACACAAACAGGCCCTGCAGCTTCCAGTTTAGGTAAGTGTTCTATCTCTTACCCTGCAGAAATTTACTTTTATACAATCTCAATTGCTTTCTGCTTTGCCAGAAGAAGAGGAAACATCTTGGTTCTGGAGTCCTTAAAACAGGCATGGTCCAGTATGTCTGTGGTCTCCTAAGGGTGCTGTGCAGGGGATACACACCAACCTGTATGGAAAACCTCTAGAAGATCTGAAAAGGCATGTTTGACAACAAACTCTGCCATTCCTGCAGGCATTGGCCGGGTAGAACAGCGTGTGTACTCACATCATACAGCACAGCGAGTCCAGTGAAGAAAGAAATGATGTAAAATGTAAATCTCCAGCTACAAACAAACAAAAAAAAGGGCGTTAGAATCCCATGCATTAACCCCTGAGCTCCAAGTCTGTGTATCCTCACACTAATTAAAAGAATAACACTATTAAGGCAAAGACACGTTAGTATGTTCAAGTTTTGACCAAAACAGGATCAGCTCTTTGCATTTTACCAGCACATTTCACAGACTTCACAAAGAGCAATTCCTTTGCTGTAGAGATGGCAGGGGACACAAGAATCTTGCTGACTGAAATCCTGAGGAGAATAATCCCAAAGCTTCCCAGCAGTAGCAGATGCATTTCCAAAAGTGAAACAATGCCAATCTCTCTCCTAGGCCTTTGGAGATACAGCCTGCTAAATTTGTTATCATGCACAGTAACTAATTACTGTCATGTTTGGCCCAGTGAGGAGCCAGAAATTACTTTCCAACATTAAACCCACACAGAAATACAACAAACTGTTTGCCCAGTTCAGTGGACAGAGGCAGGTCACCCGAATATTCACACACAATAGTAAGGAATGGGGGAAATTCAGCCCAACTGAATAAACAAGTTATTAATAAATGAACCACAGGAAATATGAAAAGGAGTAAAACTGTCTAAACTAGTCCTTTAATTTCCAAAAATCTCCACAATAATTCAGACATAACTGCATTTTGAGAGACTCCACCTGTCAATGAAAGCCCCAGGAATTCCAAGACAAAAATAAACTGTAAAGCTGCTGTGTCACATCAGAGAGACATTCTGTCTACAGACTGCACATGGCAACAGAGGGCCAGGGGAAGGACTCTATCCTCAGAGGACTGAGGCAGAAAATGATTTACTGTTTCCTACTTACTGTTACTATTTACTACAAGTGCAGGGAGGGCTGATATTTCATCCAGATGGAGAGAGAATAAACATTGTTTATAAATAAACAACTCCTTTTTCCCTGTTTCTGTAAATATTTGTAACTATATGGAATATTAGAAATAAATAATATACATCCTTTTCTTTTTGAATTAGGGTTTTTATGCAGGGGTTTCAAATTACAGGTGGAGTGTTAAATGGGGCACATGCTGATGAGCCCAAAGCTGACGCCTACCCAATGGATACAGATACACACTTTTAGATAGATGAACTCCAGGTGTAGTACTATTTAGATAGATAGTACTCCAGGTATTTAATAATTTCTTTTGCTTATGTGGCTTTCCTGGGGGAGCCCAATTCCTTACACAAATAGCAGAGCAGCCCCTTGCAAATGAGGCATTCCAACAACCTGTGGAGAACCCTCCTTTTCTGTGGAAAGCTGAGCCAGGACTGACATGCAAATCTGTCTGTCCTGAAATTTATTTTGTGCCTCCACATAACAAGGTGGATTTCCACACAGCTGTTTCCAAGGCAGTTTTTGCTCTTTGCTCACAAATTTCCACCCCCGTGGAAGGATGCTGGTTTGTGACTTTCAGGATGCTGAAGAAAAATGACAGCAGAATCCAATCCAGCCTGTCACCTGTAGCTTTTGAAAGCAAGAGTGTGCAAAACAGTTGCAGAAAAGGTGCAGCAGAAGGAATCTATGCAGAAAGGGAAACTATGGGGAAGGCAGCAGAAAGGATGCCTTTATAGTAGGAACTGAAGCAACAGCAAAGCACTAAGATGTAAACAGCAGAGAGTTTTTCAGGTTCAAATGTGTGTCAAAGCAGGATGCCAGTGTCACAAAGTCAGGAAAGGTCAGAAACAAGGGCCTGATAAGAAATAAAGGAACAAAAGCAAAAGGAGATTTGGGATTGCAAATAATGGGGAAAAGCAAGAAATGTTTCTGTAACAGAGAAGCAGCAGAGAGTAATAGCAGAGCCAAGTGGGTCAGGGAAACCCAAGATGCTTTCTGTGGAGGGAGCTGGGATCTCTGTGTAGGGATGGAGGGCACACAGGGAGCTGGGATCTCTCTGGAGGGATGGAGGGCACACAGGGAGCTGGGATCTCTCTGCACAGGGATGGAGGGCAAGGTTCAGTAGGAGGCAGTGAGCTGTCTGTGCAGCTCAGCTCCCATGAAAACCTGGGTTCATGGCTTGTGCTCCTGCTCACCAGGCCTCGCTGAACTTCTTGGACAGGCTGGGCCGGTCCATGTTCCTCCGGTGCCGGAACCACTTCTCCACCTTCCTCACTGGCAGGTCACATTGCTTGGCTAAACTGAGCAGCTCGCCCTGGAAAAGAGGTGAGGCAGCAGGCTCAGATCCAGATTCAAAGGTCAGACAGGGAATTATCTCATCTGACCCACCACAGAGCCCAGCTGGAGCCTCTGGCCAGCCTAAGTCTGTTCAAGCCAAGGCATCCTTCTGAAAGCTGTCCACTCCCAGGGTAAAGATCTTGGATTGTAGAAAATCTTTCCATTCACCTCTAATCAATTGGTTATAAATACTAATGTTGAAAGTTCTCATTTTTTTATGTTAACTTCCCCAATTTTAAACTGGTCTTGTTCCCTCACATGATTTTGTAGCCTAATCACTTCCTCACCCTGTCTTCAGGGATCAAATCCTTAAAATCTGTCACTCCAGTAAAGATCACTGCAGCTTAAATCCTATTTTATGGTTCTGCACTGAACCTCGTCACGCCTCTCAGCAATTCTGACACAGTATCATGGTGGATGTCATAAGCAGAGGCAACATCATTTTCCTACTGGATATTCTCCTCTTGCAGTAAACCTGTTAGGGGTAATTCTTCAATATATAACTCACAGAAATCCTGCAATTACCTTCCTTCTTGTCCTTAGGCTGTTAAGAGTTTGTCATGTTTTGTATTCCTACTAGGAGGTGTCATCATGGATAACCTTATTTTTTAAGTAAAGCAATAGTTTTTCATGGAATGCATTTACCTGAATTAGTATCATGTGAGACTGGCCTACATACTTTAAGCATGCTGTACAAAAATAAGTTGATTACCAATTTTCAGACATGCTGCTTTCAAATGTGCTGTTTTATGAGCCGTTTTCTGGAGGTGGAGACAAATGGAGATGTTAATTTACATTCTCTAACTGCTCCATCATGTGGAATTCTCCCGAGAAATGACTGCCAAGAACTGCAAAATCTCACATTGTACTGGACAAGCAAAAGCTGCCTCTGAGCAGTGGTGTGAGAGCTCATGGAGGGGAAGGGAGCAGCAGACTGGCTGAGGTGCACCCAGCAAGGGGAGAGAGCCAAGCAGCAGCTTCTGCTTCACCTCACACTGCTGTCCCATGGTGAGGGTCTGTTCCACTGTCCCAGATCTGAAAAAGCACCACTTGGTGCAAGGAAGAGCCACAGGAAAAACCTGCAGGCAAAGCCAGGCCTTGAGTTAGATCTCTGACACAGCAGCAGTTACACTGAGAAATGTCTGGATTTTGGGGACAGAAAGGCAAGAGGAAGGTCAACCATGGACAAGTGTCCCTCAGAACACTCCTTCCCACTGCTGCAGAGATGGGCTGGCTGCACTACCTAGATCAATGCCTCATTTTAATTTTAGCCTCTTCTCCTTTATTTCTAACTTGGTACTGCATATCCTGGGGCTCCTCATGCCCCACTGCAGCAAAACCATGCTGCAATAGCCTTGGTGAAGCAATGTGTTTGGAGCAGGATTGTCCCTTGGGAATGGAACCCATGGTGAGCACCCTACTCACCCATCCTCTATAAGAGTTCACAGCTATTGCTTTGTGGCCAAGAGAAAGCCTACAAAAACAAGCTGAAATAAAATCAGATTGTTTTCCCTACGATAGAGTTCACACTCAGGGACTTCCCTGACCAGGCTGATTTCTAATATTGCCTGACAATTCATAATCCTGCTAGTGGTTTTTCCCATCAGCAGCAGCCATTATAACTCTGGGTCATCTTGCCAATTTCTTGAAAAACACTTTTCTTACACCTCAGGGGAAAACTACCCACCAGTTGTGTTTGCAGGTTTCTGAAGCCCCTCCCAATCTCTGTGATGATGGCCAAGACTTTGGCTTCTTGCAAGGCCAATCTCAAACTCAGGGATTGCATGGCAACAGAACCCAGACCCAGTCTAGGACTGGGAGATCAAGCAAGAAACGCTGGCTGAGCTGCAGGGATTGGCAATGTGGGAGCTCAAGGCAGCTGATTGTTTTCAGGATTTGCCAGTGTATGAAAAGAAGCCATCACAGAACGGCTGGGGCTGGAAGGGACCATGGAAATCATCTCATCCAATGGGCCCTGCTCAAATGGAGCTGCCTGGAGCCAGGTGTCAAGGAGCATGTCCAGAGAGCTTTCAGTTTTCCCAAGGATATAAATTCCCCAGCCCCCTGGGCACCCTGGCAGTGAGAAGGTGTCCCTGATGCTCAGGCAGAGCCCCCAGTGCTGCAGCCTGTGCTGTGTGAGGGTGAGCAGGGACAGGAGCTGCCACTGCTCAGGGCTGAGGGCATCAATGGCAGCAGGACCCTCCTGCAGCTAACCAGGGCCACAGTGTTCCCTTTCTTGAGCCAGACAGGAATGGCATTGCTAAACCTCAGGATTCCAAATGGGATTTTCTTTGGCTAAAGACACTGAATCTACAGGAAGGCAAAGGAAGTAGGGACTCACCTCTTTAGGGTTCTTGCACCGTGTGCTATAGAATGTTTCCAGCACAGGGTTGGGCTGAGCTTTTGGTCTCTGCTTGTCTCTCACACCCAATTTGGTACTGAGGGGCAGGGCTATGGCTCTGCAAAAGAAAACATAAAGGGTCAGCCAAAAGTAGAACAGTGATTTCTGATTTTGCAGCACTGTTAAAATATGGTGCAGTAAATAACAGCTGCTTCCCACAAGTGAATCTAAATATGAGTATTATGTTGAGCAGGTAAAATCACAAGCTTACAGTAGAAACTGTTGGACTTGCACCCTACTGCTCTGAGCTCTGTGCTATGATATTCCAAATTACAAGAGGTTGGCAAATGCAATATTGTCAGCTTTGTCAGCTTCTGAATCACCAGTCACGGGCCTCTGGCATTCTTGCAGCTGATGGGGAGTACCACATTGGTGATAAGGCCTAAATGCTGTTTCCTGCTTGATCTAGAGCATGGAGCATACACGGCATTCACCTGAACCAAGGCCTAGGCTCAGGACCAGGAGGGAGGCTCTGCCAGAGGTGTATATTTAATGCAGAAGAAATGTCCTGCTGAAACAGAAAGCATTTGGTCTTTCCTGGAGTAACTTACCCCCATGTTTCCTAATATAAATCAAACACAGTAACCAGCTGTGCATCTTTGGTCTTTCACAGTGAAGAAAAAAAAAAAATAAAAACCCCTGCATAAATAGAAAAAAGTTATCCAAGGAAAACTGTTCAGAGAATTCCTGTGCTCAACAACTCAACTCCTCTACTACCAACACTTCTCTACCCCAGCAGCAGAAAACATCCTTATTGAAGGTGAAGTGAGATCCTGCATAAATACTGCACAAAAAGGAAACCTGTCAAACAATTTTTTAAAATTTCCAAATAATCTGAATTTTACTTTAATTTCTCAATAATTAGCTGTTCTTAGTAATTGCTGCCTTTTACACACTGCCCCTGGGGAAGGGTGTCTGTGTTACTGCACACTGGTGCTGAAGCTGTTTGAGCTGACAGCCCCAAGCAAGGGCAGCGAGTGCTGAGCCCACACCTGCTCTGCCTGGTCACTCCTGATGTCCAGGCAGATCCTCTGATCCATTCTCCCCAATGATTTGGACACAGAAGAAGATTTTTTTTTTTTCTTTCACTTTGGTTAAAAAAAGCTGCTAAAGCTATTTCACTTTTCAGGTGCTTAAAGGTGTTCTACTTCAAAATAGTATGGGATATATTTATTGCTGTGATTGTCTGGTGTGGTTACCTGTGGTTTCTGCTAGTCAGAGAGCTTATACTCCATATGCATATCTTTAGGGATTATTTCAGGTCCAGAATCCTCCAGATGGGTCTTTCAGAAGTTTTCTTTTCAAGAACTCATTTCTTAATTTAATTATAAAACATTTTTAAAAAATTATAAAAAGACCCCCTACCTAAGGAATGCTGTAACTTCTGTTAAATCACAGGACAGGTACACATTTACTCACTCATATAACAGCTCTCATTTTTCTTTTGCACAGCCAACCCACCTGCCTGTGTATCAATTGTTCTTTGTCATTATCTTTGGGAAATTCCTTTGGCATCACTGGCTATAGGAACATTCAAAGATGTACCAAGGCCAACAGAAATTACATGTTTCTACCATAAAAGAAGGGCCAGGGCTAAGTGTGCTTGCTGGCAACAAGACACATAGTGATCACAAAAACATGGGGAAGCATTAACCAGTTTCAGTGAAATTTAGCAGCACTCTGGCACTGCTGCTGGGTGGCAAAGGAATAAAGCCATCACTGGGAATCCTGGGGTTTGGCTCTGAACTGCTCTCAATAAATGTTTCAGGTACATCTAATGACTTTTTTGGATATGAAGTGATTGGTTTAATACGAGTGACACTGGACCAGCAGGTCCTGTGCTAAGAACAATAACACAGTATTTCAGTAGTATCCATAACTCCTCTGAAGTTGGGAAAACATCCACCTGAAGCTCTGCACTAAATCTTGGTTCTTACATTAAACATGGGCCTGATCTTTCTATTTCAAAGAACAGGCATCAATATAAGCACCTCTGAACAGGAAGATGTAATAAATTATATTGTTGAAAACTGCCTTATTGCCACTTCTTCTCAGGCCATATTGTGAACTGCAATGTATGACATTTTCCAGATACATTAAACAAAGAGAATGTCAGGTGTCAATGCAGCTTGCCAACAAATTTATTTTACTGAAAAGTATCCTGAAAATTTTCTTAATTTTGTTTAATCCCTGACTTCTCTGTATTTTCTGATGATTTCTTAAGGTTGTGGCATAAAATCTCTCTGTAACAGAAACAAGCCACTTGCAGTGGATGAAGTCAGGGTGTAACCAGTTACAATTACTTTGTTATTCAGGTTTTGAGTTTACCCATGATTTATGGAACCAATCCTACTTTTACGAACATCATTGGGAAAACAAGGCCTGAAATTCTTCCTAAGGGACGTTTGCATGTGTTGGCTGTATGCTCTGACTCAGTTCTCAGTTCAGCCCTGTTCCAAGCACAGCCCTGAAAGGATGATGCTTGTACTGATTTCAACATCACAGATATGTCATCTCAGTGGCAGAGATGCCTCACCATGGCACTGTATCAGCTCTCTGCAGGACAAAAGGGTAAATCTGAGGACTAAACTGTCTCCTCTCAGAGTCAGACACAGCCAGGGAGATGATTCTCATCACCAGCCTGCTCCTTCATCAGTGAGCACATCTCACTCCATGTTTTACATGGCAGAGGTTTCACCAAGGCATTTAATTCAGTAATCACAGAACAAGCTGTCTTGTGCAAAACCTTCTGAAGTTGAAACTAAATGGATTTATCATGAATGGGCTTAAACTGCTACTCTCCTACCTTTCAAAAGTGGGCTCCACTCCTTCTGCAGAGGCCTTCAGAGCTAGTGTGAGGTAAAGGAATATTTGACTTTGGGTTTTAAAAACATTATTTATAAGGGTGCCACTTGCAAATACCTTCAAGTACTAAGAAATGCAGAACCAGTGACAGCAGCAATCTGAACTTCTGTTCTTTGAGCTGCACAGTCTCTTTTGGCCTCCTGCTTTCCTTTGGCAGAGGGCTATTGTTATGCTCCTGGTGTAGTCTCTGCCTTCTCCTGCTGTCAGGAGAATGTTTCACACCAGTTAAACTGAGTGTTCCATTTGATACAAGGCCTGGATTCACTACAGTGCTGCTGTCCAAACTGACTTGGGTCCGTTTTCAGTTCCTGTGCCTCATCCTTGCACCAAGCCCTGCCTGTAAGGCCTTAACAGGAAATTGTTTCCAGATCCTTCCTATTACTGATCAACAACAAAAGTCTCTATGCAAAATAAACTTTACAAAGATGCATTTCTAAATAAAATATTCTGAATTTGTGTCCTTTCCTTCTTCTGGTTTTGAGCTCAAGTATCTGTTCCAGGCTGATCAAGAGCGTCCATTTCTTTAAATGTACAACATATGGCTCACATCCTGGCACCACCCTCCCACAAGAGACTGAGTATTTCTGATTAAAATCCTCTTCTAGTGAAATCTGGGACCTGTGTGGATTCAAATTCTCTGACAATTCCTTTCAATTGCTCAACACCCAAAAATTCCTGGACAAGCCCAAAGTTGGACAAATCAAAAATTGCACGCAAAGTCTGGTTTTCAATGGCTTTACTATTTCTCAAAGGACTTTAGTTGCCACATTTTACTAACCATGCAGGTAAGAAACACTTTGCAATATTCCTTCAATATCATAGCTTTCCAAGAACTTGATTTTTACAGAAATGGTCTTAAACATTACATAACTAGAAGAGTAGCCAACATCCTTGCAGGACTACGCCCAGGGAAAAGTTCTGCTAAGTAAAACCAAGCTCCAAGTTCTGGTTGCAGGACATATCTCCTACCCACAAGTGCAATCTGGAAACATTAAAGGAACAGGGGAGCTTCCCAAGTTCTAGGTCCTCTCTTTTCTTAGGACATCATTAAATGCTTCCCCCAGTTCCTGCCTCGGTACTGTGGCACAGCTCAGCACTGCAGCAGAAATGGGATTTCTACTCTCCAGCCCTGAATCTACCTTTCCCCACCTTCCTCAGCACAAACCAGCTCACAGGGGAGTTGCTTCACAACCCATGAGTTGTTTCTTCTCCCCCAGGGCTGCACCCACAACCTCCTGAGCTCTGCCAGGCACACCCAGCTCCTCTTCCCAAGCCACCACCTCATCCCCAGCATCGCTGCCTCTGGGAAGGACCTTGCTGGCTCAGTTTTCCTCAGTTCAGCCAGCTGGTGCAAAGGAGAGGAAAATCCATCCTTTCACAAGTTTAATGCCTAAAAAAAGGATGAAACAATTGCTCCCAGCACAGTGGCTGATGTGGCCAATGATGGCAGAAAATCCTCCAGACCTCCACTGCCTCTAAGTTTTTACCTAGAGTTCTGACAGTTAAATCATATGAATCACATTATAACATGTCTGAAATCCCAAAGCAGACACCACTAGGAACTATCTAGAGAGAGAAAAACTTGGCGCCCAATGCAGAGTTGCAGGTAATAGCTGGTGGTGGCTGAAGGTAGAATAAGTTGCCACAGGGCAAGCTACAGCCACTAACCCCAAACCTGTCTTTAGTTACAGTCACTCATTTCAATCTGCAGACTGGATGTCCAAAGATATACAGTCAGGGTTATCTACACAGAAAATGAGAAATAAACATTTCCTTCTGCAGTTCTCAAACTTGGTGTAAATTATTTTAAACAGGGCCAGTGCCACTGTTTAAAGATACAGATAAGGCAATGGAGAAACTGAGGGCTGGATTCACACCTCACCTTCCCAGGGGAAGATTTCTTCTCCAGGATGAACTGGATGTGAAACACTAATGATTCAGAATGAGAAAAAGTCATGCTGAAATAAATTACTGCAGAGTTAGGACAAACAAGAACACAGCTCAGAACACCGGCTTGTAATTTGCATAGGTAAAATAGTGCTATGATTATAGGTTTCCTGGACCTGTAAAATGGGCTTGTGATGTTATCTTTTTCAAGGGTGTGACATGCAGCTTTAATTTAATGAAGTTTGTGAATCAAAACAGCTTTAAAATTAATGAGTAGGACCAGGCCTGTGGAAACACTCCCAGCTGAGGCAGCACTTGGATGGGAAAGAAAAAAATCTTTTTACTTGGCCATCGGCATCTAAAAGCAGATGAAAAAGATATTTAGATTGACTGGGAGTGGTGTGGCAGGAGGTAGGCAAATAAAGGGACAGAGTGGCAGAAGCACAGAACCAGAGATGCTGGAAGGGGCTCTGGAGACGGCCCAGCCCAGCCCTGCTGCTCCTGCAGCTGCCTGGGCTGTGTGTTGTGGATCTCTGGGTGTTGTGGGTCTCTGCCCGTGCAGACTCCTTCCCTCTCTGGGGAAGCTGTTCCAATGTTTGACCACCGTCACAGTAAAGAGAGAGTTTTTGTGGTTTTGTGCAGATGGAGCATCCTGCATTTCTGCTTGCGCCCACTGCTTCATGTCCTGTCAGGAGCCACCACAGGGAAGAGTTGGGCTCCTCCTTCCTGGCCATGTCTTGCATGGGGAGCCATAAACTGCCACCAGTGGCATTGGTGGCATTCCAATTTCCATTCCCCATTTCCAGCTCCACACCAGAAGCACATCTGTGTCACCCACCAGCAGGAGCAGGAATCCAGCCAGGTCTCTGCACCAGCAGGAAAGAAATGTGACTCACTTGTGTTTTAATGTCTACCTAGAGCACCTTGGTTTCCACATGAATAGAGGTAACCAAGATACCCTGTACCCAGGAAAGTGTAGGACAAAAACCATGGAATTTATGGAATGCACACTGAACATATTGTTTACAAAGAATATATTTTAATTCCAATCTTGTATCATCCTAAAATGATTATTTCAGTAATTATTCACACATTTAGTTTTAATAAAATACCCCAACTTACAGCCAGTATTTTTAGATAAAAGCATTCTTATAGGAGAGGTCTGAATCATTTCAACTTCTATAGGTTTTTCCAAGTTACCCTTGTGTCACAGAGAATCTGCAGAAGAAACATCCTTCTAGTCTACAGAAAAGTCCATTTCCATTTCGTTGTGCACCCACTTTTCAAAAGAGAATGATAAAATGTTTTTTAAATTGTCATTTTCCCCTCTTTCTAAACTTAAAACCACTGAAGATTTCAAATTATTACCTCTTCAGAGAGCTACTAAGAATACTGTGTTTTGAATATACTGAAAACCACTTTAAAGTGTATTCAAAATCACGAAGGGGCCTTGCTCTGCAGTCTTATCAATGGCTAATGCTGTAGTAAATCTGTTTTCCATCAGCAAATCATGTGTCACCAACCACATTAACTACTGACCAAACTGCATTAAGCAATGGCACCAGTTCAGGACTTCAATCATTAAACTCAGAGTTACTGACACCTGCAGGATTTCTTGCTATACTTTTGTCATAAGGCCCAAATTTTCTGTGCTGAAGTGTAATGTGAAAAACATTCAGATGGTTCTGGCCAGAAAGATCCTTGAGTCAGAGTAACTTCTTGTGCCAGCACTGGAGAATGATATCACAGAGTTTACAAAAAGCAGCCCCAAAAGCAGATTTGGTAGCAGAATGAGAGGAGCAGGAATCCTGGCAGCCCAGCACTGGAGGGTTTGTCAGCTTCAGGTCAGAGGCAGCAGCTGCAAACATCTGTCTGTGCAGAGGAGAGCAGTGCCCTGCAGCCCACGGGGGGTCAGTGCCACCCCCTGTGCAGACAGGGCTGAGGCTGGGGCACAGCAATCAGCCCAGCCTGATGCACCTTGCTCAGGTGTGTCTGGCAGTGCAATTCTCCAGACCCCATCACCCAGGATAAAGGAGACTTTACTGCATGACGGAGTGTTAGCATGATTTCTGCCACACTCAACCCAGAAACAGCAAGTAACATGCAACACACACAAACCAGCAAAACACACACATAAACCTCACCTACAGCGATCTGTTTAATGTGTACAAAGTCACAGTGCTTGCAAATAGACCCTAAGGACAGGGTTTGTGCTCTACATTCAACACACTCCTTTAGCCAGTGTGCAGGGCTGAAAGGAGGGAGCTGAAAAATGCCAGCAGACTGTGACACGGAGTTTTTGGGGATCTCTTCAGTCATGCACTGGCACAGACAATAAGGCAGCTTTTGGACCCAAACTGCTCCCATTGTACCTGAGAAACCACGAACAGTATTAAATAACTTACCTTTCAAAGGCACACCGAACGACTACCAAGATTAAAGCAAAAGGGATGCTGAGCAGGAGATCACGAGGCTGAGGGTAATGAGTGTCTTCAGACTCTTGCATGTCCTCCCAGGTGATTCCTGGGGGCAGCCAGAACTCGTGCTGCCACAGCCACTCATACAGAGAGCGAGCCATCCTGGAAGGAGGAGAGACCAGAAGCGAGTGAGCCCTGCACACAGGAAACCTGTCAGCACAAGCCAAGCAAGGATTACACCCTTGCTGAGGTGGCATCTGGCTGTGGGACTGCCCAAAGAACTGATAACCTGTTCACAGATCCTGATCGTGTGCCTGGGAAATGCTGACTCCTGGCACCGAACCAAAACAGGTAAAATGGAGAAAAGTGCCTCAGAATTCAACAGAGTGTTAGTGGCAAACTTCTCCATTCAGGATTCCTCTCTACAGCTTGGTATTGTGGGGATATGGCAAGTCTGCTCTACTTTTTATGTATGTATCCTTATTTTTCAGTTTTTGATGTTTTGCATTTATTTGATTCTATTTACAGATTGTAATTCCATTGTGTGTGTGTGTGTGCATTATTATTCTGAGGCTTCGCCTTAGAAAAGAACTCATCTTTTTGCTTTGAATTGTTAAGGAAGGTACTTCAGGTAAGAATTTTTGTGCTAGGCGGATTTTGTGCTGTGTTCTTAATGTAATTTTAAAGACGATGCTTGAATGTAGAATCTACATATATGATCAGTGAATTTAGCAGCAAACTGGACAGCAGAATGTTGAGTGACAATTCAACACACAAATACTGTTTCTAGATAACTCTACCTCATACAGAAATATGAGCTGCACCACCCTCCAATACACATTGCTCATTCTTAGCTGGTAACATCCCAAACACAAGCTCTGAAGTCAAACAGACTCTGTGTAAGCACAGAAGAAGGAAATGTGAATGAAATGCCCCTTGAGATAATCAGAACAGTGCACAGGAAATGCCACCTTAGGAAACTAGGGAAAAAGCACACAATTTAAGTGTCTGGCCCAAGTATTATAAAGCTTCTCTTCAAGCACAGTCCCAAGGCCTGGCCTATTTTCTGCAAGAACTGTCTATCAAATCAAAAATAATCAGTCATTTTATTTTGAAGATATCTTTAATTCTGATGCAATTTCTCTGTTAAACTCATTCTACAATTTTGGTATCTGAGGGATATTTTCTGAATCACAGCCATGGAGTCATAGAATGGGTTGGGTTAGACAGGACCTTGAATTTCATCCCACCCCTGCCATGGCAGGGACACCTCCCACCGTCCCAGGCTGCTCCCAGCCCTGCCCAGCCTGGCCTTGGGCACTGCCAGGGATCCAGGGGCAGCCCCAGCTGCTCTGGGCACCCTGTGCCAGGGCCTGCCCACCCTGCCAGGGAACAATTCCTGCCCCATATCCCATCTGGAGCTATTGTCTCTCAGTTTGAAGGCATTCCTCCATGTCCAATCCCTCCAAGCCCTTGTAAAAAATATCTCTCCATCTTTCTTGTGGGCCCCCTTCAGGCACTGGAAGGAAATGTGACATCTTTCCTTGATTTGGACTTTACTATTCCTCAATGTTTCTTTTGATCTGACTACAACAGGGAAGGAGAGGATGCTATTTCTTCAGATTTGACTCATTTCTCCTGGCACATGCACATCCAGTTTGGTTTGAGGACAAAGCTGATTAAAAATATATGTGTAATTGATAGTAAGTGGATGCAAACTTTCTAATCACTTATAGAAAAATATATATAATATATAGAATTTATATATCTCATATAGAAAGGAGGAAAACATTTCCCTTTTTCCCCAAAGAAAAAGGAAAACCATCTTATGAAAAATGCATTCTTCTCCTCCACTGTGCACTGCCTGATTTCAGCTTTTCATAGTAAAACCCACAGCATAAAAATCTTCCTAAAAATAAAAAACCTGACATACTGAAGAACTGCAACCAAAATAAGTGGATGTATTGCTTCACTAGCACCGAAAAGAACTTCCAGCTTTTTACTAGAGTTCAGTTTGACAATAATCAACAGTATTTTCTTTCTGGTGTAGCTCCTGGGCCTCTTGAAACTGCAGTTTTGACACCACTTCCAGGCTGCTCTCCATTCCTTCTTCTAGCTCTTCTTCCAGACAATACCTGGACAAAAACCACTGGCACATCTCCACCAAATGGAGATACAGAGGGTTTATAGATCCTTCAAATCCTGTTTTAAGAGCCTGACAAGCAGGATGCAGCAGTTTTTGAATTGCCTGCCAAATCTCGAGTGTCTGCAGCTCTCAGGGCCTGTCCCCACCAAGGCTGTTTGGAGTGGGAACATTTGCTACCAACCCTGTTCCCCTGCAGGACTGTGGATCCTTTTCCCTTTAGAGCTCCAGCAAAAGCACCTGGACCATGGGGGTTGGTGATGGCTCCTGGTGACAGAGCTGGCTGAAGCTCACATCCACACCTGCCAGAAAAAGCTTTGCAGACTGCCCAGTAAACGTGCTACAGCTGCTCTGGGTGACACAGCCCTGTGCCATGGGACAGGGTGGCTCTGCTGAACCCCCAGGCCTTGGGAACCATTTATTCAGGATGTCCCCAAACTTCCTATAGACTGTGTGAACCCAGGTTTCTCCATTAAAGTTTGCATTTTTTAGAGGAAAATGTGTGTAGAAGCAAACTGTATATGGGCTTAGCCTATGATGAATTCAACATCCTGACACCACACCAAAACAACTTGTGCACTTCAGCACTGGACACCAGCCTGGAGAGCCAGATAACCAGAGTGAGGTGTCTGAATTGCAAAGCACTTTACAGGCATCGAACATACCAACCTCAAAATGTTGGTAAGCTTTCTCAGCTGTTAAAAATCTCAGCTCTAGTTGGGAAAAGCATTAGGAATACCTAGGAGAACTCCAGGGGAAAATTACACTTCCTCCTTGGCTCAGCTCTTCAAAAACCATTTCTTCAGTAGGTTTTCCCACTGTGCAGACAGAAGGCATGCTGGGGAATGCTGCCTTCACAGCCAGCTTTGCAGCTACACATTCCCACATTCTCCCTCCAGAACTGTCTATATCTGGCAGCAACACAAAACCACACCTGGTAGAGAACAGCAGCTGAACTCTGTGGAAGAATACAAAATAGATGTCCAATTTGCTTAGGGGGGATATATAGATTCAGTGTGCTAAGGAAGCAAATAGCCAGTACCAAATTGACTCTCATGTGCAAAACACAGGCAGGATCACCCTCATGGAATATTTCTTCATCTTTGCTGCAGTCTTTACACATTGCAGAAAATACAGAACAAAAAATACAAAAAACCAAAAATACAGAACAGGGTACTACATGAAGCAACACATATATCTTTTGCAATTTATACAGGTCAAATTCTCAAGTCAAGGCTGCTGGAAAGCTGAAGACAATGGTGTGTCTAAAAGGCCCTTTGAGCACCTACAGAAAAGTGTAAGTGGGCCCATTCTTTCTCAGTTCTTTCCACCTCACACAGCACCTGTCCTGCAGTGTAGCTTTTGAACATGCAGAACCAAGCCCTTCAGCTCTGAACACAGGTCTGACAGAGAAGACACCCCCTCACACAGAGCTCAGCAAGAGCAGAGATAACAAACAGCACTGGGAAACACTGGACAGATCAACATAAGGACTTCACAAACAACCAGCAAAATAGTAAATGCTGAAAGAACAGCTTTAGGTTGGTTGCAGAAAGGTACATGTAAGGATGAAATCAAAACCAGAAAAGCATCACAGCTACACCATTGGGTAAGGGAGGACAAGGCATCAGCACTTCCTGAGCCCATAGTGCACCAAGAGGAGACTGGAAAAGGGGAATTCACTGAGGTGACACAGCCAGAAGGTCTTGAAGCAGCTGGACTCTGCTGCCCAGTGGCCTCATCCACTGTATTTACTTTGTTGAATCTTGCCTTTCCTGGTGTTGATTGCTTTTTTGGTTTTTGTGAACATAGTGGTTTCATCTGAACCCTCAGCATTGCAAAGGTCTCTGCTGTTGGGCTGGCCGGGCTGCTCCCAGGAGAGCAGGAATTGCTGCATCTGCAGTGCCTGCAGCAGAGCAGCAGAGCAGGGCTCCCCACCCTGAGCCACAGAACACTGCACTGAGCCCTGCAGGGCCAGGCTTGTGCTTGGTTTCGCTTTTGAAGCAGAACTGCTTGAGAAGAAGCAGGACACCCAGCTAAGGAGGTTACTGCTCGTCTCACAGGTAAAATGGCTAAGCAGGTTTACCCAGGCAATGTTAACTGTTGCTTACGTCTTCAAAGAGTTACTCTCTTGCTTCACTTAGAGACTCCATTCCCAAGCAAAACATTAATATATAGGTACACAAATATTCATATAAATTTACATGTGTGACTATAGCAGATAAGGGTGGAGACGAAACAAAGAGAAACAGCTTACACATCTTGGAAAGAGCTGGCTGCAGAGGCCTTCGAGTGCTCAATTACAGCAGGCATGGGCCATTGTCTGCAGGTGGATTACACAGGTTTGTGGGTGAACCATGCCAAAGGTACAAACATCCCTGCGGTGGCTCTGGGCCAAGCCATTTAGGTCAGCCAAGTCTTATTAGTTTAATTGCAGCCCCACGTGAACGGCCTGGCTGCCAGAGCAGCAGGGATTCCTGCAGAGCCTTCCTGGTAGGGCCAGTTTTCCCAGGATGCAAATATCCCCTGCAGCACAGCACTGCCACGGGGGAAATCACCACTCAATGGGGAGCACACCACCACAAGGATGCAGTTACGCTGCTTCTCGAGTCAAGCTGCTTTATTTTTCCATGGGGTTAAGGCTAAAGAAAACCAAAAAAGCCTCTTCAATCTTGATATGCTGGAGACCAAAATGGAGAGGCTTGTCCTATCTTCCCAAGAAACTGGGGTTGAGAAACAAAGTCCTCCGTATAGTTCTAAAGGCTCCTGTTATTTCAAACTGGAATTTGGAGCCATTATGTTCCTGCCATACTCTGGTCCATATTGCCTAAATTTGAGTTTCCATTGCCTATTATGCATTTGAACCTTTAACTCATTTTACTAAGAAATCAATTAGTCAAGAACTCCATGAGTAAATTCTCTCCCGACAGCTTTTCTCGGCAGTTTCTTGTTTGATACTTCCCAGAATCCTGATGTCTTCAACTAAAACTACTTGTTAGAGCAACCCAAGAGAAGATAC